GAATAGAATAGAATAGAATAGAATAGAATAGAATAGAATAGAATAGATTATAGGTATAGAATATAGGAATAGAATAGAATAGAAAATATACTATAGAATAGAAAATATACCATAGAATAGAATACAATAAAACAAAATAGAAAGTATACTATAGAATAGAATAGAACAGAATAGAAAATACACTAGAGAATAGAAAATATACTATAGAATAGAATAGAATAGAACAGAATAGAAAATATACTATAGAATAGGGAATAGAACAGAACAGAACAGAACGGGTTATATTAGCTTCACGTTTTCTTCTAGTAATACTTCATGTCTAAATATATGGTTCTGTAAACTTTTATATTCAATGACATTTCTTTTCCTTTTTTTACTTATTAATGATAGGTAGTTTTCCCTCTTCATTTCTGAGTATGAAAGGACAGAAGAATTTAATTAACTTGGAAAATCCCATTAAACAAAGAACAAACCATCTTCCAAATAAGGTACATGACACCGGAGGTGGCCTATTCAGCAGGTTCTGACCGGTTCTGGAGAACCGGAAGCGGAAACTTTGAGGAGTTTGGAGAAGCGGCCAATCCCGCCTCTGACTGGAGATTTTGCAGTCTCCTTCCCCTGCCACGCCCACCGAGCCACACCCACAGAACCGGTAGTTAAAAGAAAATTGAATCCCACCACTGCACGACACCATTCTCCATTTACAGCTAGAAAGTATTTTTTTTAAAGTCTTCTCGGGGTCTTTTTAATCTTTTAAAATATTTCTAATATTCACTATTAGCACCCACACATTTTAGTAGTTACAAACGGTTCATGACCTTCCCAAAGAGCAGCCCTAAAGTAAGTGATCCTAGCCTTCCAGGTGTGGGTCCAGCACTCGATTACAAAACGCCTCACAACTAGAACTTTACCTTCACTCGCTTGGCTTGGCAGAAGTTTCCCAGACATGGCATGTCGTTATTGCACTGGAAAAACCAAGCAAATCTAAGCCATCGCTTGCCAGGGGGGCTCCTTTTTTTCCAACCTCAGAGGTCTAATCTCAGGGCTTCCACCTGCCTCCCTTCCGAACCAACAGAGCCCCGGCATGGAGCTCAGTGGCCCTGGAGCCATCCGGGGGGCTTTGTTGACATGGTGGCCAACTTTAGCCTGGGAACGGGGCGGGGGGGGGGGGAGCCCACCTCCGCTTCCACAGAACTGGCCCTGTTTGAGACCTGATGGTTTCTCATGAATAAATGGGGGCCTCGGACAGCGATCGCTCTCATCTGTTGCAGCTAACGTAGGTGGACTGTCTATGATGGCTTATTTCTCTTTGTTCCTTTGTCTGCCATGTTTTAAGCCATGTTTAAAGGCGATCACCGAGAAGCACTTCATAGGGGGCAACCCCACAGGGCCTAACTCCCGCTCCGAGCCACACAATTGCTGCCGTATTTGGGGCGCTGAGTTTCTGCCTCGGTTGACCAGAGGTTGCGTGTAAATTCTCTCTCTCTCTCTCCCAGGATGAGGGACTGGTAAAAAGCACCAATACTTAAAAGGGCAAAGTTAAAAGAGCCGCCGTTTCTTTCGTCCCTTCGCGAGAGCCAAGCACTCATCGCGCCCACGGAACCTGAGGGAAAGCTCCCAGGTGGCACAGGGTGCCAGGAGCAACCCGTCTGCAGAGAAAGGAGGGACGCTGCCCCCAGCAACGGGCCTCACCTGCTCCGGTCGAGATGCCCAGCAATCGGCAAAGATATTCCAGCACATTCCAAGCCAGGGCCTGTTTCATGCTAGGGAGCCCTGCGGAGATTCTGAGGTGATCCCTGTAAGTCTGTTTGGGGCGATTCCAGGAGCAGCCGGGGTTGGGTCGAGCCTCCCCTCTAAAGCCGACTAGAAGCGCATTAATTCAAAGATCCACAACCAAGCGACACCCTCCCGGACCTCCTCGGACCGGCTAGAACCGCACCGGAGAGGCTCCTGGCGACCTCTTCATGCTGCCATTTATTCCGCTTTATTTCAGAGGGCAATTAATGATTACCGAGCAGAACAAATACATCCATTAATGCCTAAGGCTCTTTGGGTGGCATGGCAGGGCAAATCCACCAAACGCATGCCAGCACCTGGTGGCTGTGGAGCCCAGAACCAGCAGGCAGATTAATTGCTATGGGAGGAAATCAGAGGCTTAGGGCTTCTCCCCCTCTGGCCCGATAGGTTGCTAAAAAGCTGAAAAAGCTGCTGTGTTTTTGAGCAGGCCCTTCGCCCGATGCATTGTTCTCACTGGGAAGAAATTTCTCCTTATTCCTGGGCTGCACCTCTCTTTCATGACCTTCCCCCCCCCCTTATTTCTTGTCCTCCCTCTGGTGCTTTGGAAAATAGGTTGCCCCCTCTTCCTGTGGCAGCCCCTCAAATATCGGAGTCACCCCTAGTCCTTCTCCTTCTTTGGCCAGACACGCCAATCTCTCTCCCGGACGATGGTCGTTTTGCCTGGGTGACCAATTGCAACCGCTGCACCGGTCACTCGCTGGGCCCCAGAGGCTGTTTGTGGTTTGAAAGACTTGACAAACTCAGGACCCGCATATCCTGGAGAGGCCCCTGAATGACGGGTCATAGCTGCCTATCCGGGGGGTTCTGGAAGGGATTCGGGGCCCTGCTCCAAAGGGGCGTCCTCCTCCCACCCCCCTCCCCAAATCAGAGGAGGGCTTCCTCTGTGGAGGTTGAGCAAACTCTTCCAGAAGAGCCCCTGCCTGGTGTGGTTGGAGCCGCTAGCAGGATTGCAGGCCTTTGGGGCTTTGCAGCTCTTTGGATGCTGTGATGAGGATGTTATTGTTCTGTTTGCCGGGTTTACCGTGTTGTCCAGTTTTACTTGTGGAAGAGCACCTCATTTCGTTGCACCCACTTGCAAGTGTAATGACAAATAAATTCTTATGTCTTATGTCTTAATCCTTTTTACTGTAAACCAGGAGTGTACATCCCTTAGAACCGATTGCACTGAAGTGGGATGTAATCCTAAATAAATAGGGATAATTCGAAGTCACCCATGAAGTCACCCAAAGCTTTTCTTTGGCTAAGCACTGTAGTTCTTCTGGTTGACTTCCTGTCCTCGGTGCACCAGGGTGGACAGGTAGACCGGGGACTTCACACACGTCTTCCTGATTTTCTTTAACTGGGCCCCCTGAGAGCCCCCGTCCGCCTCCCTTCGAAAGCTCCCAAGCCTCTACCTGCCCCAGTCGCTCAGGCTCTTGATCTCCAGCCTGGCAGGATTCAGTTCAGGGCCCCCCTAATTCAGCTCACAAGGTCCAGCCAAGCAGCTTTTCAAGAACTGCAGTTCTTCTCCTGCCAGCAATCCATCATGCAGAATTCACAACCTTTGCTCTCTGAAATGCTCTTTCTAGAGCAATAAATATCTAGCCAGGCTTTGCCCGGTTACATTGTTAGCTCCTTCCCAGGCATTTCACACCTAACCTGTTTTCCTCTCCCTTTTTTCCCTCTCCCCAGACCACGAACTAACAGATTTATTATTCTTTGAGATAACAAAGCAGGATTATTTTTACTGCAAAGACTAATGTGGCAACTCCCTTGGAAATAATTTATGGCCGGTGTTTTAATCCTGCCTCTCCCTCTGGGACCTCTCCTCCCCCTTCCCTTCCCTCCAACCCCCTAATAATGGCACGTGGGTAAAGCGCCCTGTTCTCTAGGGCTCCTTTGTACCTCAGATGAACTAGACTATCACCCACCAAAGTTTAAGTGCCAGCAAAATCGGGCAAGTTTTGCGCTGCCAGCGCACATTTGTATTTGTTTATGCACCCTGGAAAGCAGGAGGAGCTGAGATCTAAGACAAGGCCCAGTTTGTGGACAGGCCGGGCCGGTTCAAGGGGCAAAGGGGCCCTTCCATTCAGGGGAGGCGGCAGGCCAGAGGCGGGCAGAGTCCCTCCCAGAGGCGGCCAAGGTCCAGGGAAACCGCCCGGCCCTAAAGAGACCCAAAGCAGAGGAGAGGCCAGCGGGGGCAGCTGGGACGCCGGGCCTGTCGGGCACCTGGCAGGCCGAGCTCCTTCAAGCGGCCGGGGAGCCACCCCCTCGGCTCCTCTGCCGCCTCCCGTCCGCCTCCCGCTCCGGCCCGGCTTTTGCGCGGCGCCCGAGCGGCCCAGGCGCGCCTAGCCGAGCGGAGCCGGGACTCGGCCGCTTTCCGGCATGGCGGGGTCCGGGCCGCCGGGCGGGCGGCGGGTGCTGGTGGTGGGCGCGGGGGCGGCGGGGCTCGGGGCGGCGCAGCGGCTCCTCCAGGCCTCCCGGCGCTTCGCCCACCTGCGCCTGCTGGAAGCCTCGGGCCGCGCCGGGGGACGCATCCGCAGCGCCCGCTTCGGTGAGTCGGGACGGAGGGCGGGCGGCGGGCGGCGGGCGGGAGAGGCAGCCGGGCAGGGAGGGCGGAGGCGGGCGGCCCCTTCATCCCCGCCTGCCCCCCGGGGCTCCCCCCGCGGACGAGACCGGGAACGCCCCCGCCCTTCCCGGGGAGGCGGACCCAGCCGGGGCGCTGCGGAGCCGGGCCTCCCGGGGGGGGGAGGGGGGCAGCTGGGGTGACCGAGGGGCTCCCCCTTCTTCCCCCCCCCAGGAAAGGGCGTGGTGGAGGTCGGGGCGCAGTGGATCCACGGCCCGTCCAAGGAGAACCCCGTCTTCCGGCTGGCCGCGGAGGCCGGCTTGCTGGACGACGATGCTCTGTCGGAGGAGAACCAGCAGGTGGAAGCGGGCGGGCACCCGGCGGGGCCCTTCGCCTGGTACTCCAGCCAGGGCCGGGAGCTGGACGCCGAGGCGGGGCGTTCCGCGGGCGCCTTCTTTGCGGGCCTCCTGGAGGAAGCGCGCGGCTTCGTGCACGTGGACCGGCCGCCGGTGCCCAGCGTGGGAGAGTACCTGCGGGGCGCCGTGGCCCGGGAGCTGCGGGAGGCGGCGGGCGAGGAAGAGGCGCGGCGCCTCCAGCTGGCCGTCCTCCGCTCCTACTTCCACCTGGAGTGCTGCGTGAACGGCACCGACAGCCTGGACGAGCTGGCGCTGGGGCCCTTCGGAGAGTACGCCATGCTGCCCGGCCTGGACTGCACCTTCCCCGGGTGAGTCCTCCCCAGCCCTCGTTGTCAAACGGAAGGGAGGGAGACCCCGCCGTCACCTCCAGCCCAAGTTTTCTCTACCTGTCCCGGAGATACGTGTGCGTGTGTGTTTGCACCTGGGCGTAAAGTAGATGCCCTTTGCAGCAATTCCTTTACCGGCCTCCCCTGATCTCTCCTCTGGATGGAATTTTAAGCTTTATTTCCCTCACCTGTTCAGGTGCTTCTCCTCCTTTATTACAGAGGGCATTCTGGATTATGAGCCTCCAATTTAATGACAGCAAATGGGCCCCAAAGTACATTTCAGGCTGCCCACTTGCTTGGCTTCTTTGTCCCTCCCAGCGGTTTCCAAGGCCTCACAGACCACATCATGGCCTCTCTGCCCGAAGGGATTGTGCTGTTTGAGAAGCCGGTCAAGACCATCCACTGGGGAAGGTCCCACGAGGAGGAGGGCTCCCCAGGCCGGCTCTTTGGGGTGCAGGTGGAATGTGAAGACGGAGAGACGTTCTTGGCAGACCACGTCATCGTTACGGTGCCCTTAGGTAAATCTCGGTGGCTCTCAGCATGGGGGGGGGGCGGCATTTGGGGCCAACATTTTCTGCACTAGGACACAACAGAATTTACTTTTGCTACCTGGCCAATCAATGTGTGGCTGCCTGGTTAGCAAGCAGTCAGCCGGAGAAGGCCACGGCAGAAGCAACCTGAAGAGGAAACCCTTGGGACACAGTTATTTTAGCTCTCGAATTTGACAGAGTTGAATTGTAGGATTATTTTTTTTACATTTTTTTTGTGTTTCTTGCCTCAAAATGGCAGGGACCAAAGCCGCCCATGTGAACTAAGAAAGATTCAGTAGACCACACGTCACTTTGTTGCTTTATAAAAAAAAAAGAATTGTGTATAATTTGGTTTGCTTATAAAAGCATGTATAACATTGGAACATTTCTATTTAAACAATCATTATAAATGTATTTGTTGAATTTACTTTAAAATGGCTGCATGCATACCCGTGTCTGGGTGCAGGTCTCAGGTTCTCTCTGTGTTTTCTCTGTGAAATCAGGCAACAAAGAAGTGAATGTTGAAGCAGAAGCCACCGTCAGCACTGGAAATGGAAGTTGGTCCTCCATTTTATCCAATGAGTTCCTCACTCCCTTTCTCTCTCTCTTTTAAATTAGAAGACGGAGAAAAAGAAGGCGGGCAAATCAAAATACTTATTTTTCCACACAAAATAGTGTTAAGTCACTCTTAATTTTGGCATCTTCTCTGGCCTTCATAACCAATGAATCCTAAAACGCTATCAGAGAAATTGGCAGCAGATCATCATATTTCCTGGACTTCAGCTCCTGTGTTGTTCTTGAATGTTTCCTCAAATAAATTTATTCCATAAGGTTTGGAGGCATTTTCCTCAAATTCTGGTTTCCTGTTCTAATCTGTGCTCTTATCATCCCCCTCTTTGTAGGCTTCCTCAAAGAACACCAGGAGTCCTTTTTTTGCCCGCCTCTCCCACCCCAGAAGCTGGAAGCCATAAGACGATTGGGCTTTGGGACTGCCAATAAAATTATTTTGGAATTCGAGCAACCATTCTGGAAGCCGGACACTGAAATAATTGGGGTGGTGTGGGAAAACCAGTCCCCTCTGGAGGAGCGTCCTGCCGACTGGAGAAATACCTGGTTCCAGAAGATTGCTGGCTACGTGGTTCTTCAGCCCCCTGAGAGGTGAGGGGAAGACGGGGGGGGGGGGGGGGGGGGGGATGCCCGGGGGGGGGGGGGGGGGGGGGGGGGGGGGGGGGGGGGCGGGGAATTGAAGTGGGCTTCTCGGGAAGGAGGGAAGCTTCGATCGTGCCCTGGATCTCAAAGCAGAGGGGATACTGGGCTTGAAGCAGGAACAGTAAGTAAGTAAGTTACAGTACTCCGTAAGTTACAGTGAGTAAGTTACAGTACTCCGTAACCCATGATGATGCTCACAAGCTTTGCAGAGTTGCTATCCATCTGCTGATGCTATGTTATCTTTACTATAGTTCTTACAACTCGGAGGAGAAATTGGATTTATTATTTATTATGAAATTTATTTGCCGCCCACTAGTCAGGTGGAACTAAAAAGGCTGCTTAGATGAGAAGCGAAATGTTTTCAAAGAAAGAAAAAAACCAAAAATCCAGTTTCCTCTTGGAAGAAGCACCTTCGGGACTTGCTTTGCATTATTTTTCTTCCTGTCTTTCAATTTACAGGCATGGCCACATCCTTTGCGGCTTCATCGCTGGAAGAGAATCTGAATTTATGGAAACCCTGTCAGATTCTGAAGTTCTTACAACTTTGACTCAAGTATTTCGTAAAGCAACAGGTATATGGTCTTTCTGGGCAAGCGCTGGATGATGTGTAGCCATGCCTTAGTATTACTGTTATTACCTATTAAATTATATGCCAGCCCTTTCACGGTTCGAGGCAACTCTGAGCAACCACCTCAGGATCCTGCTAGAAAGATGGGCCTAAATGTTCTACAGTCCTACCCAACTCGGGAGGGAGGAATGAAGGGAGTCCCATCCGTCCTGCCTTCCCTGAACATCACGGTTTCCTAGTGGACTCTGTATTATCAAATTGGCAGAAAGGGTAAAGGTGTAATTTGAATGAATTCCAGGGTAGAAATTAAAATGTTAATTTGCTCTGTGTTTGTTTTGATTAGGAAATCCACAGCTGGCTCCTCCGAAGAATATACTGAGGACTAGATGGCATAGTGAACCTTACACCAGGGGATCCTACAGTTACGTAGCTGTAGGAAGTTCTGGGGATGACATTGACTTGCTTGCTCGGCCTCTCCCTGAGGACCCCTCCGACTCCAAGGTAAGCAGGATGAGTCCTGAGCAGCCTTCCTCCACTGTGGCCCTTTGAAGATCTGTGGACTCCAAATGTTACGTTGATCCCTGAAAAGGGTTTTCATGGATAAAGAATTCATTCAAGAGTTTTATCCCGCCTTTATTTAAATAACTCCGGTATGAGGTATGTACCCAATACTCCTTCGTCCTCCTCTCTTCCCCCACAACAACATCCCTGTGAGGTGGGTTGTGCTGAGAAAGAACGGCTGCCCCAAAGTCACCCAGCTGGCTTTGATGCTTAAGGTGGGACTAGAACTCCCAGGCTCCTGGTTCCTAGCCCGGTGCCTTAACTAGTAGAGCGAGCTGGCTCTCTGCTGGAATTTGACAAGCCAATAAGTTGATCGGCTGATTATTCTTGTCAGTGTCAGGGCGGAGCATATTGTTCAACACACACGTACCATTTCTCCCTAAATAGAATTGGAATTATTAAATTGTAAATGAAATGGAGGAAGCAGATGTAACCACCCCAGAAGCACCAGGAAAACCATCAAATCTGTGCAGGGCTCCAGAAAGTAAAGCCAGGCTTTGGACTTCCTGCCCCGAAGCGGCTTTTTGGTTTGGCAGGCATTCCAGTGGGGCATTTTGATTGATGGATAGCTGACACGCCCCAAGAACGGTCCCCCCTTTCGCCACGGCTGGTTTGGCTTAGACCCGGGAATAACGCTTGCCCCTCCTTCTCAACAGGCCCCGCCCCAGCTTCTCTTTGCAGGAGAGGCCACCCATCGCTCCTTCTACTCCACCACCCATGGGGCCTTGCTGTCTGGCTGGAGAGAAGCAGACCGCCTCATCCATCTCTACGACTCGCTCGAGGCGCCGCATGCGCAGCAGCTGGAAGCTCGCGAGTGACACAACGGCAGCGCCTTTTCCTGTGCTACTTTTCTCACCAAAGATCAAGAAATGGTTAGGAATTCTTTTAATTAGTCTGATCTTTGCTCCCGAGTTAATTACTAGGAGTACTTTTGTCCAAAGATATGACAACACTAATAATCCCCAACAGTGTGCGCATTATCCTGTTTAAAGAAATCTTCTGCTTATGTCGCTGTTTCTACCTCATCTGTTCCTAAAAGTCACCACCTACCATGGAAAATGGGCTGCCGCGTTTAATAGTACTGGCTCAATATATACAAAGCATTAAGGCACAAATTAGGAAACTGTATTTTAACAAGCATGTTAAGCCATTGTGGGAATTATTTGGCTTTGACTTATTACATGAAATAACCTAGTCTGTTTGTAAACCTTGTTTGTAGCTTGGTCCGTTATACCAAAAAAAACAAAATGTGATGATGCTATGGATTTGCATTCTGCACGAACCCACCTACTGTCTTAAACATACTTTTTATAATCCTCAGAGAGCAAGGAAGCCTCTCCATCAGTTGTCTCCTCCTCCTGTGCTGAGCAATGCCCGTCTATGTGTGTCTCTGTATTGCCTAATCCACTGTATGAATCCAGTCTCCGCTTCTGGCGACTCCATGGAGGGGCCCTTCTATCCCTCTTAGCCACAGGATGAAGCCAACTACTGACTGCTGCATTCCGGGGTGCTTTGCGGGTTCTTCTTCTCCTGGGGTTGACATTTCCTGCTGCTCTCACATCCAAATATTAACTCCTAGGCCTTCTTGATGTGTTCTTACAACCGAATCTCTGTATAGACACACTTGCTGCCTTGGTGAACAAAAGAGACTCGGGGTATATTGTCCACAGAGCTCCATTCTTCTTTCTCAATCAATGTAATCTCTTCTAGCAAAGTTGATTGAAAGAAAATAAATACTATAAAATGTTAATGTCTGAAATATGCTTTCACTGCTTTCCCCAAAACTGTCGCAGGGTTTGTATTTTATAAGCCCTTTATAAACCAAACCCTTCTTTAGACATTCTGATTTTCAGAAACTCGGTGGGGGTTGTAATTCCAGTGGCCTGTGTGCCTCAGAAACCGTTTGTGGTGTAGGGAGTAAGATGGTGATACACAGGGATGGGATCTGACCGTGTAACTACCAGTTCACTTTGTGCGCTTTGCATGTGTGAATCACCAGCTTGCTGCCCGGACAGCTGAGCGGCGCTGCATGCAGGTGCGCAGCATTTGAAAAGCCCCCTTCCCCCCCCCCACTTTTTCAACCACAGCTGTGCGTGGTTGGTCAGGTAAAAGCCCAAGTGGGCCAAACAGCAGCAAACACAGAACCGGTTTGGTGTCTGCTGCTCTTCAGAGCTACCAGTTCTACAGAACCAGGCACATCCCACCCCTGGTGACACATGCTCATTAATCACTTTTAATATTTTATGACACCATGATTGCTGAGTTAATCTTACAACAGTGATAATAAAACCATTGTCCACTCAGACTTATAAATATGCAGGGAGAAAAGTATTTTTATGCAAGGCTCAGATTCTTGAATAAAGCTTAAGAGCCTATTCTATAGAGCATATTATTCTCATATACGGAAGAATGAGAATCCTCTTGTGTTATATTCCCCATCGCTCCTTTGGCAGGGCAAAAGGTCTTTGGGTAAGTCTCCAACGATGGAGATGCGCCTTAAATATTTGCCCTATCACTTGCTTACATCTCTTAGCCTAACCACAGCTGTATTCACAAGACGCCTGAAGTGAAGCATTTTTGTTTGTTTTGTGCAAACCCAGCCCACAGTGTGTGATCTGTGAATCCAGGAAGCTGGGTTTTCTCTTACTCAGCTAAACTAACCTGGCTCAAGTGCACAGTGTGAATATAGTCAGAATTAAAGCAACAGAAAAAAACCAAAACCCTCCACCTGGTGATTTCAGGAAGCTTTCAGGATGATCACAGCCCCTTACATCTCAAAAAACCCACAACCCCAGCGTGGATACAGTACCAACACCGTCCAGAGCGTGGCTGGGAATTGACCTGGGAAATGATGATTAAGTTAACCAAGCAAATAGTACCAACGTGGCCTGTGGTGAGTAAAGCCAGTCATGCTCCCCGTCTTTTAATAAGAGCTGCACGTCTGGGAGCCTGAAGGTGGATGCTGGGCCTTTCGGGCAAGTCCCCTGCGCTGGCGGCGGCCCACGAGCAGCTAATACCAGTTGGTGCAGCAGATGAGGAACCTGGCGTCCTCCAGCGGGGCCAGGAGCCAGGCCTGGCAGTAGCTCTTGGGGTGACCGGCCTCCTCGGCAGGCGCGGGTGGCAGCTGCCCAGGGTTGCAGTCGGCATCTTCCGGGGTGGGCGGCTCCTCCTCCTCCTCCTGATGGGCCTGGGCAGGATCCGGCTCAGCTGCTGCCAAGGGCTGTCCGGGGTGGTCGGAGGGGCTCATGGCCAGGACCTGCGGGGGGGGGGGGGGGGGGGGGAGAGCACCCCACGGGGGGGGGCGGTCAACCCCAAAGGCCACCCTGCCAGTCTCCCACCAGCGACGGACGGACGATAGACAGGCAACTCAAGGGGGGGGGACCCTCCTCCCTCCCCCTCTTCTCCCCCCATTAGCAACCCTGCCAGAGGGGGCTGGGCTGAGAGACATGCGGAGTCCCCCGAGCTCATCCAGCTGCTCCCGGGCCCAAAGGCCACCCTGCCAGTCTCCCACCAGCGACGGACGGACGATAGACAGGCAACTCAAGGGGGGGGGACCCTCCTCCCTCCCCCTCTTCTCCCCCCATTAGCAACCCTGCCAGAGGGGGCTGGGCTGAGAGACATGCGAAGTCCCCCGAGCTCATCCAGCTGCTCCCGGGCCCCTGCTCCGCCCGCTCAAGGGCAAGAGAAGGCCGGGGTCGTGGGGACGGGACCCGGGAGAGCCGCCTCACCTCCTCCGCCCCGGAGGGCTCCTTCTCGGCGCCTTCGGGCTCCAGGGCTGCCCCGCGGCCCCCGCCGCCTCCCGCTGCCCGCCCCCCGGGCGACTGGGCGCCGGTCACGCCCTCCCCGTCGTGACGTCACAAGCGCCCCTCCTCCGGCGGGGCGAGTCCGCAGACGTCATCGGGGTGCGGCCGCGGGGGCCTCGCCGTCGTCATCCGAGCGCGCCGCCTCCACAGGATCGGCACCCTCCGAGGTCCCCGAGCGGCGCGGGATGCGGCTGGCGGGGCCGCTGCGGGCGGCGGCTGGCGGGGGCGGCTGGCGGGAGCGCTTCGACTGCGGCGGCCGCGACGTGGCGCGCTGGTTCCCCGGGCACATGGCTCGAGGCACGGGCGGGGAGAGGGGCGGGCGGGCGAGCGAGGGGCCTCCGCCGGGCCGGGCGGCGGTTGCAACGGCGCCTCTTTCCTCCCGCAGGGCTGAAGGACATGAGGAGGACCCTGCGCGACGTGGACGGCCTGCTGGAGGTGCACGATGCCCGCATATCCTTCCGCTTTGCCTTCGCCTCTGCCTCGGGCATCCCAGGGAACAGAGCCGGGGTTCAGCCGTCCGTCCTGGGTGGTATCAGGGGGACCTCCCAGCCCCAGGACGCCCACCTGGGGTGCGTGGAAGTGCCTGGCTGAGGGGGATCCAGAGGAGACCCGGGGTCTGCAAGTGACCGGCCTCTTCTCCCCCCTCGCCTTGCGGGCCCGGCTGTGCGGGAGACCACAAGGCCTGTTTCTGCCATAGTTTGGGGCTCTTCCTCCTCTAAGGGGAACCCGGATCAATCAAGATCCCTGCGGGGATTGAGGGGCCCTGCAACCCAAAGCACCACCAGGTGGATCCCGAACACGGACCGTTCCCGTTCTCTTGAACACCAGCTCCCTCCAGGCCGCGCTGTGGTTGCAGACCCTCTGGGGGCTTCCTGTGCCTTCTCTGGTTGCTCTGTCTGCGAGCGAGACCAGCCCCATCCATGCTCAGATGCTATGATGGATTGCACCGTCTCTCAGCTGAAGAGCAGCCACCAAACCCGGCAAGGAGGCACCAAGGGCGGTTCCGCCATTGGAGACCAGCCAGCCTGAGCCAAGCAGATTGCATTCCCTACCTGCATCATGTCAGCCTGCCTCTTCCAGATACCCTGGATTGTCCACGTGGGATACTTTGCGGCCCCAAAACATCCCTTCTCTTCCAGAACCCCTGGGCTGCCTCAGCAGCAGGGTGGCCGTGAGGTAGAAGCCAGGTCTTGTTCTCGGTAAACAGTAGGTAGCCCCCCTTATTGTTGGGAAAGGAAAGTGTAGCTCTGACCTCCAGCCCTTTGCTTTAGACACCAGTTGCCCCCTTTCCATGGCTTTTTATGTTAGTGAGGCAGGGTATACCTTCATGGGATCCATGCTGATTTTCTTCAAAGAAAATGTGTTCTTCAGTAAGATGGCAATAGTTGCTTCCTTCCATCGGCTCCCGTTTCCTCCACTTTCTTTAGAACAGACATTAAGCTGGCCAGCCTCTAATTTCCTCTGTGCTTCTCCTTCCCCAGTTTTGATTTTGAGAATGGTAGGAGTTGGGCTCCTGTGCTGCCTTCACCCACCACGTGGTTTTCCGTTTTAAATGCAGTCTTCATGGTTCAGGTAATACACCTGTGCTTCCCGTTGTGCATCTGGATTGTGGGTCCTTGTTTCCTTAGCACTTGCACATTCCGCTTTCTGGGCGGAATCCCGTCTTGCAGGAGGTCCTGGGGCTCCGTCCACATTTGCTGGTGTTGAATAAAATGGATTTGGCAGATCTGACCCACAAGTCAGTGAGTAGAACCTTCTCAGTTTTGTCTCTTCCATAGACTGCAGGCTGAGCTGGAGTTTGGAAAAGTGTCCAAGTGAGGATATGTAGGATGGGAAGTAGGTCTTCTAGCTTGGATGGCTTGTTAGAAGGTAGGGCCTGTCAAACAATTCGTGCTAACTTTACAGTAGGGAACCTGAACTCTCGCTGTTGTTATTTTGTGTCTCATTTCAGTTCTGCTTTAGCCTGTTCGATAACACCTGGCTTCTTCATCAGACTCTTGCCTTATTGATTACTTTATTGATTAATCAACCTCTTGCCTTACTAATACATTTAATTAGGCTGGGTGACTCCAAAGGATCTAAATTATAGTAACAACTATAATTTATCAGGGGTTTTCAATTCAGTGTATAGAATGCGAATGACGTGTGTGTTTATTTTCATAGTCATAATATAAACTGAGGATGGTATTTAATTTCGTTGTACAAGGTGCAGTGACAGTAAAGTAAAGTAAGCAACACTAACACTTCCTATGGCTCTCTTGGATATGCTTTTAGAGGATTCTAGAACTTTTGGAACAACAAGGTTTGCAGCAAGTTGTCTTCACCGATTGCTTAACAGATGAAAACGTTAAGAAGGTAAAATTCCAACGTACAAAATTATATTCTAGTACGATGAGACTGGATGATGAGAGTTCTGTGTTCGAGAGCCCATCTTCCTACTCACTGAAGGATAAAGCAAAGCAGTTGGTACAAAGGAGTCATGGCATTGGCAGCCTTGTACCTTTCTTAAATGAGTGAATAATTCACCTTGGCTCTAACCAGTTTTATATCTTGTGGAAGAGCTGCGGGGGGGTAGATAAGTAGGCATGGCGCCTTAGTTCCTAAGGACAAAACACACCTGCGGTTCCATGGAGTCTCTCTTTCCTTGTAGCTTATTCCCATTCTCACGGGACTGATCAAAAACAGTCAGCGCTATCAGAGGGCGGAGGTGAGTTAAAACTGGACATTTTGGAGAACAAAAACGTTGCTGTGCTTTTCCTTCACATTTAAACAACCACTTGGTTAATGAACAGAAAGGCCCATCCTGCTCTTTCCTGTGTTAAAGTTCCTGATATGTGGAATGGATTCATTGTTAGCGGGATTGATCAGCCTCCATTAGATCCGCCCCCTGTACGTGTGTGTGTGTGCGCGTACCTGTGCATCTTCATGTCAGTCTTGGTGACCACACTGGATGAGTCCCTGGCAAGGTCCTTCAGAGGAGGTCGGCCATGGCCTCCTTCCCAGGGCGGGGAGAATGTGAGTGGGCCAAGTTCACCCGGCTACCTTTGGGCCTAAGGTGGGATTGGAACTCCCAGTCTTCTGGTTTCTAGCCTGATGCCTTAACCACTCTGCCAGTTTTATAACTTTAGAGAACAAACCTAACCTGAAGACCACTTTATTCAGGATGGTGCTTGTCCTGTCAGAAGGTCTTGATGGTGGTCCTTTACTTTTCTCCCTAAAATGAAATGAAATGGCAAATAATTGCCTGGACAAAGACCCTCATGAATCAGCGCAGACTTTCTTTAAGAGAGGACCCATCCTAGGGGTGCGTGTGCGTGTGTGTGTATGTGCATGCTTGTGTGTGTGTGTATACTCCTATTAACAGGTTCCTCCGAGACCTCGGTTTTACAAGGTTAACGAATAACTGAGCGTTTTCCCGCATTATGCTTCAAAAGACGAGCCCCTTTGGCTTCCCTCTTTTCCAGCACCTGGAAACGCCTCTTTCTGAAATGCAGAGGTTCCTGCCCAACAGATGTTCAGAGCAGTGGAGTGGGCTTGTTGTGTAGGTTGCCCCTCTCCAGCCTTAGACGCATCTCAACGGAGGGAAGAAATGTTTCCTGGGGTTAGTACAGGCCCAGGTTTCAACCATCCTTGGCCTGGAGTTAATGGGACCCTGGATATTTAGGAGGCTGTTTCCGCGTATGTCAGTCTCGAGAAATCCGTCAGCATCTTTCTTCTCTTCCCTGCTTGCGCCAAGTGTGTTTCCACGGTTACTCTCAACTGTTTCTGATTGGTTCCAGAATGTGGATAGCAACATCATGGTGATAGGGGTGCCGAATGTGGGGAAATCCTCAATCATCAATTCCCTGAGAAGGCTGCACCTCGGGAAAGGTATTACAGGCTGTTGCTGCCATTCAGACAAAGGGATGCATGTAACACCGAGCATTCAGTAGAGTCGGTGCACAAGGAGGAAAGTTGTGAGCGTGGCCACAATCCTGAAATCATGGTGGGCTGGTCCTGCCTGTGCAGAATGTTTCCCGTCGGTGGATTAGTGATCAATTCTTTTGAGATGGAAAAGCCCAACAGCCGAGCTAAAGTTCTTGGAAGCCGAGGGAGGAGGGCGTGGAGGGCTTGAGTTTCCCAGAACCCTGTCCAGCAATAGTGGAAACGGGGTTGACAGAGTTAAACGTGGGGACGGGACTTCCCCCCCCTGGGTTGCCAGAAAAGGAGCCAAGATTTGCTTTTTAGGGTTGTGGTCGGTTAATGGCAAAGGGACCCTTAGTTCCTCAGACAGTGTCAGGCGGCCTGACAAGCCGAGCGCTGCCGTCTTCTTCCTTTGCGCATCAGTGTGTTTCTCCCTTCTTCCTTTCCCTGCGACCAAGGAAAAGCAGCGCCGGTTGGAGCGGCACCAGGTGTAACCAGAGCGGTTCTCACCAAGATCCAGGTAATCCAAGAGTTTGATGCGCCAAAGGGGACCGGGGGGCACAGAAGTGGGCTCTTATTTGAAACGTTGGTTCTTAAGTAGTGGACCCCTGACTCGAGGGGAAGGTACGGGCGGCCCGAGAGAGCCGGTCATTCCCAACAGAGCTCGGTCGGTGCCTCCTGTTCCTCATCCCATCTTCTCCCTTGCGACGGACTGATAACGGGGCGGATCTTCTTAGCCGAGCGGCTTCCTGCTGCGTCCTCATTCGAGGGAACCCCCTGGGAGGGATAATGGGGGTTAATAACGGGGCGTAGCCCAACACCCGGGGACCTAGAGGTGCACGTCCATGTCATTCCAAGATTAAATTGAGCTCTGCTTCAGGCTTTCATGGAAATAAGGAATGGCAACCAAATCTAGTAACCAATTTCTGCATTACAACAGGCTTTAAAGCAGTGGATCTCCAACGGTGGTGCCTTGTGTCCCGAGAGCCACTTGGATGCAGGGCTTAAAGGTTCTAGACGCTGAGAGTTTAATCCTGTCTTAGGCATAAAAGTTGATTGAGCAACCTTGATGTTGACGCTCGTGGTGGGTAACCGAAGGAAATGTAAAACCAGTTGAGGTCTCCCATCAGCTCTTCGGCACGTCGGAAGCCGCCATGCCCTGTAATTCTCTGTGGCAGTTTTTGAGACTGTAAAAAGACTGAATCTGATTCCTTCCGATTCCAGGTGTCTGAAAAGCCGCTCGTGTACTTACTGGACACTCCTGGGGTGCTGTCTCCCCAAATCAAGTCCGTCGAGACAGGGCTGAAGCTGGCGCTGTGTGGTGAGAGGACTCCGAGTGGTCTTAGGATGTGGGGCACGTGGCTGTACGCCGATGGGGCCCCCCGTTTTGGAGGTGGCGAGTAGACCAGCCCAAGATCTCGCCTCCACCTCATCTAGGCGTGGGTTTTATTTAGCCATTTTGACATCAAGGTTTTTGCTTTCAGCGCCTGATGTTTTTTAAGGGGTTTTAATCCTCTGATTGTTTTATTCTGTTCTTTAGAGCATTGCCCAGAGTTGCTTGGTAGAGAGTTGGGTATCGTACACATTTAATAAATAGATGAGATTAAGGACTTGGGTCAGATTGGAGAGATTTAGATTCGAGTTCGCCCTCAACCACGAAGCCTCATCGGCTGAAGTCGGGTTGGCCCATCTCCCCCCTTCCCCCCCCCCCCCCCCCCCCGCCAGATCGTAGCGAAGATCCGAGGAAGGAAGCCCCCCCCCCCGGAATCTTCCCTCTGGGCCCTTGGAGGAGAGGCAGGCCGGGCGAGCGGCAGGGCCGGTGGGCGAGGGGCCCTCGGGCCCTGCGGTCGCTCTGCTTCGCCCACCGCTTGGCTCAGCTCTCTTGCCTCGGGCCTCTCCGTCCCCGGAGCTCGTCCTCTGCTCCTTCGTGTGGCCTGACGCGTCCTGGTGTGAAACCTACGGGTGGAGGGCGGCCTTTGCCGCTTTCACAGCCCTGAGGGTCCAATTTCTGCAGTCGGGAGAGAGTCTCTGCCCTCCAGGTCCTGGTTGTCCCAAAGGGGCTTTTTCAGGAGGCAACTGGACCTTCCGGTTTTTTTTTTTTTTTCTTTGAAGGCGTTTCGCTTCTCATCCAAGAAGCTTCTTCAGCTCCGAGTGGAATCCCTCCATTCCCCTCCATCCAGTCTGAGCCGAGGAAGCTTCTTGGATGAGAAGCGAAACGCCTTCAAAAGGAAAAACAAGGAAGTCCAGGTGCCTTTGGGGGAAAAAAGCCCCTTTGGGGGAATTCCTGCAGGGCTTAGTCTCAGGTCTGTGGAGTTCAGGTGGGTTGCCTCCCATCCCCCCAAAGTCTGATTTTCCGGCCCTGGAGCTGCCTGGGCCGCCGTCCTGGCGCCAGGCTCTGCCAGCAGGCGACTGTGACTCTTTCTACCTTGCCCCGCCCTGCCCTGACCGCCTGCCCGTTCTTCCTTGCCCCAGGAGCGATTCTCGATCACCTGGTGGGGGTGGAGGTCATTGCTGACTACCTGCTGTATGTGCTGAACCAGCAGCAGCAGTTCAGGTGAGGGGGGGGCTGGGCTTCCAGGGGGGGGGCAGGGGGACCCTCCATAAGCCTCAGGCAATTTTCTCCCCCCTACCCCCCCCCATTCTCTGCAGTTACGTGGAGCGTTACGGGCTGAGTGGCCCCTGCGATGAGGTGGGGAGTGTCCTCAAAAGCATAGCGCAGCACCTGGGCAAGGTGCAAAAAGTCCAGGTCCTGACTGGCACAGGTGAGTCCTTGCCCTCTTGGCACCAGGAAGGTCTGTGCACACAGGTGGCCGGGGGAGGAAAAGGGGCTCCTGGCCGGAGGGGCAGGTGGCGCGAGCAGCTGAGGGTGGAGCCCGGGGAGGGAGGCTCAGCTTTAGCCGGCCAGGTGGCCCCCTGAGTCCCACGTTGTTGTTCCCCCCCTGCCCCCCTTCCCTTTGGGGGGAGCAAAGGCCACCTGGGCTGAGGTGCGAGGCTCTCCCCTCTTTCGGCAGGGAACGTGAACGTAGCGGTCCCCAATTACAACGCCGCGGCCTGTGAATTCATCTATACCTTCCGCAAGGGGCTTCTGGGGAAGGTAATGCTGGACCAGGGGATCCTCGGCTGACCTTGCCCCGGAGCCGCCTTCTGGAAAGTTCCGAGGACCGAGCAGCAGGTAGGAGCCACACCGTGTGCTTAGGAAAGACTTGGGCCGGTGGGACCTTGCCAGCCCCTCTGGGCGGGTGGAGAGATGACAGGTAAACCGAGGGTAGGTGGATAGAAGGACGGGCCACCCGCCTCTGCCGCTCTGCAAAGACCGTGGCTTCCTTCGGAAGCTCCGCTGGGCTGGCTCTGACAGCCGGTCCTTTTGGGGGGGGCAAACTCCCCCAGGGGAGCCTCCTTTTTATCCCTCATCCTAGATCGTTTCCTCCCTTCAGGGGATCAGCACCGGCTTGTCTTGGGTGGCAAAGCAACAGCTGGAGGGAGCTGCTGTCTACCTCCTGTTTAAAAAGAACCCCGCAGGCGGACTGCATCGCTTCAGGGTCTGCTCGAGCCACATGAGGCCAAACGCTGCTCTGGAAGAACGAAATGAATACATCGGTGCGAGTTAAACTATTGCCACCCCACGTTCCTTTTTTGGATACTATGAATAAACAATTTTGAGATTGCTTTCCCACTGGCATTGCACCAACTTCCCTCCCGCCAAGGAAGGAAGGAAGGACAGGATGACTCCCATCAAGGATGCAGAAGACACAAGGGGGCTGGACTAGAAGACCTCCCGGCTCCCTTCCAGCTCTGTTCTGTTCTGGTTTCCAAATTGAAGCCATTTTGATCTCTGATAAAGTCTGAATTTGTATCAGGTCAGCTTCCTGATTGTCCTTTTGCAAGGCAGGTGAGTCCTCTAATCAACGGCGAAATATTGCAAAGGTGGCATAAAACAGGTGCTGACATTCATCTCCTGATACTTTTCTTGTCCGCATCTACAAAATGGACAAATGCAAAAAGGAAAAAAAACCCAGAATGCCGGGAGAAGCGGTCGCTGAAGTCCCATCCCAAGATCCTCCCTCGGAGTTGGAGTCCCAAGTTGAGCCAGGCCGGTTTTCTCTGCTTCACGATGCTCTCCGGCCCAGGCTTCTCCCTTGGCACCGTTGCCGGGGGGACCGGGTGCAGAAGTCCTCGGGCCTCTTCTGAGGAGTGCAGGGGAGCCAAAAAACCCAAGGCCCCTTGCCCCCCCCCCACTGCAGCCGTAAAGGGGCTTTTCCCCCCCAAAGGCAGCGGGACTTCCTTGGTTTTTTTCCTTGAGGACATTTCACTTCTCATGCAAGAAGCTTCTTCAGTTCTGGAGTTCTGAACTGAAGAAGCTTCTTGGATGAGAAGCGAAACGCCTTCAAGGGGAAAAAAAACAAGAATGTCCCGTTGGCTTTTTGGGGGGGGGGGAGCCCCTTTGGGACAACCATGACCTCGGCGACCGAGGGTCTCCACTGACCTCCAAGGGCCGTGGTGGGCCGAGGGGTCCCTGGCTGAGGATTGTGAAGAGCAGCTGGTCCTGGTCCCTGATCCGAAGCGGAAGCCCAGGCCGGAGCGCAGAAGGGCTGCCCCATTGCAGTGGCCAGTCCCTTTGGCATCCGCAGGGAGGAGTCCAGGCAGCCGGCAGGGGTCAGAAGCTGACACAAAGGTGCAAACACGCACACGGATACACACGGACACACCACCTGGTGCATTTGCCGTTACGCCCCCCCCCCCCTCCGGCCCCCCGCTGGCGCCCCCCCCCCCCCCCAAGCCTCACAGTCCAAACTGCCACAGGTGCACCGGGGGATTGTCATGACTTTTATTACATGTTCACCAGCAGGTCAATCAGAACATCAGGGTCTGTTCCGAGTTCTGTTTGCACCCGGACATCATACAGGTATGAAATGTATGAAATTGTTTTTTTCTTAAAACGGGTTGGAGGGTTGATAAATAAGGTAAATCAGGGCAAAAGGTCCACTTGGAGCAGCGGCGCCTGTGACCCGGATCCATTCAGCCGCCCGGGAAGCCGTCCCCAGCCAGGGAAAGCTGCCTTTTCTCTCACTGCGGGCATTGAAGACGCGCCTCTTGTACTTCGTGCAAAATTCACGGCCGTCGAGTCTTAACAGCTCTACAAATTTGTCTAATCCGTTTTATAATCTTCTCAAGAGCCCTCCTAATATCTGAGGGCAGCAAATGCCATCTTAACTGCACAAAGCTGTTTATTGGGCCTGAATCTCCCTGCTGGATTCCTGAAAGCGCTGGCAGGTTTCCCAAACCATCCGGTGGTTGGGTTGAAGGGAGATGGCCGACCCAATTAGCTGTTTCCCCAAAAGGAATTTTTACTGGCCTTTGAGGGCAGAAATCTCCCGGCCAAAAGGAGAATAAGACATTTTCAGCCCCCTCTGGCTGTTTGCAAGGGCATTTGAGAAGATTTTCCACAGGAAATAAAATCACATTCACAACAACGACAACTGAGCCTGTCCAGCTTGACACCCAGCCCCACCCTTTCTGCCTCCTGCCTACTTGGAGAACGTGGGCTGCCTGTGAGTAATTCAGCCCTTTGCACCCATGTGGCAACTGCCCTCTTGAGCCGGTTCAGGACACAAGGCAAGAAGTCTGCTGGTCTGCTTCAGGCTGGGCTCCCCTCCGGTCTGGCCAAGGGAAGAGCCCCCTGCCACAGGCCAAACTCTCAGGGCGAGGCGGACAAGGAGGCGGGCTCGAATTAGAACGGATTTTTTTCCCGCCCCGTAGTAGCCTTGAAGGTGGTGGAGCTGGTAATATTCAGCCTCTCTTAGCAGACAAGGAAGGCTGCCTCCCCTCCCCTGAACCTCACAGCCTCCTCCCCGTGACCTAAAATTTGGCCGGGAGAAAGGAGTAGCCAAAAACGGTCCATAGTTGAGCCTGACTTCCCTTGGGCTTTTCCATGTCCAGCAGGTTCTCCACCCCTGGCCTCTGCTTGGGGGGCCATCTAGTGCGGAGTGACTCCCGAGTTGAAAGCTCCTTTGTGGGACAAGGCCCCGGAGGGGGGGAGGCTTCCCTGGAGGCCCCGGTATAGAAGGTATAGAAGTAGCAGCCGGTCTCGGTGGTTGACAGGCGGGAGGTCTTCGGGCCTTCATCATCCCAAAAGAATTTGACAGACAGGCAGGCCGGCCCTGGTGGGAGCGGGCAGGTCCGCAGCCCCTCGGACTGTCCACCAGCAGACACTGACACACACACACACACACACACGCACCCGTTTTCCCTCCCTTCCCCATTTCCCTCCCCCCCTTGGCTCGGCCCTGGGATGGCAGAGGCGGGGGGGGGCGGAGTTGGGCCCCGCTGAGGAAGCCGGGGCAGGGGCTGGCGGGCGGGGGGGGGAGGCCGAGGGCCCGGGAGGCTCAGAGCGCCCGGGGCGCCAGGGCCACGCACCAGAGGGAGGCGGAGGCGGAGAGGAGGGCCCAGGGCCCGCGGGGGCGGCTGCTCGGGGCGGTGTTGTTGCTCGGCTGCATCTCTCCGGAGGGGGGGCTCTCTGGCCCCGCCAGGCTCATCCCGGCCGCCGCCGCCGCCGCCCCCACCGCGGCTCCTCCCGCCGCCGCGGCCGCCACGCGCAGGGCTGTCCCGGAGGAGCTGTAACGGGGCGCGGGCTTGGACCGGCGGGAGGTGCCCCGGGCGCTGCCCCGGGCTGACCCCCGGGCCCCGCCCCGGCCCCCCTTGCAGACGACGCCCTCCGCCACGAGGGCCAGCAGGAAGAGGAGAGTCCAGCAGACGGCGGGGCTGCACGTCACCCTCATGGCCTCCGGGATGCGGGCCCGACCTGCGGAGGGAGGGGAGACAAAGCGGGTCTTCAGCCCCGGGGAGCGGGAGGCGGCTCCGCTGGCTTCGTGCAGAGCCGGGCCGCTGTTGCCTGGCGACTCTCCGCTCTTGGTCTGCCTCCAGGAGCGCGCTCGACAGGGGCGATCCGGCTTTCTCCTCAGGCCCGGAGAGAGTCCGAAGGGGCCGCCTAGCCCGACCCGCTGCTCCAGCAGGAGTCCCCGGTCCAGCCTCTCCCTGAAGGCCTCCCGCGATGGAGCCCCCACCGCTTCTCCGGGCAATTTCTCTTCCCCTGGCTTATTGCCCCCCCCCCCCCCCCCCCCCCCCCCCCCCCCCCCCCGTTAGGCTGGCTCCCTCCTTGTCCAGTTCCCACGCGTGGCTCCTCGCCTGGCTTCAGGGCCTTTGGGGACCAGGTGGGCCCCCTCCTCTTTCTGGCAGCCCCTCGGAAGGTCCTTCTCTTCCCTAGACTGGCCAGTTCCAGCCTCCAGCCCCCCAATCTCCCGCGTGGCTCTTCTCTTTCCCCCTCCCTGGTGACCAGAAGCGGGTGCAGAATCCCCCACCCCGAAGCCCAGCGCCAGCCCTCCCCACGACCTGGATGCGCCCTTGGACTGCAGGGAGCTCTGCCCGTCTGCTGAGGTCTTAACACGGGATGGGGTCCCCCCCCCCCCTGCAAGCTAAATAGGGGGGGTTGTTTCCTTTGGGCTTGGCATGGGGGGGGGCCCCCCCCCCCCCAATGCAAAGCCAGGGTTAACCCAGCCGATCTAGCAGGCAGAGGCGCTCAACCTCTGGGCGTCGAAAAGAAGCCTCCCCAAGGGAAATCCCACCGCAGATTCTGGTTTATCCTAGGGATCGCCCCTCTGCCCGCCCCCCCACCGGAGAAGGAGGGCTGGGGGTCCTCGATGGGATTCCCCTCCCCCCCGTCGCTTTCCCCGAAGCACCTGCGGCTCCAAAATCAGCCCCCACCGGTTGCCCCCCTCCCAATAGGGCTCCGCTCCCCGGCGGGCGGCTGCGGAGGAGATGGAGCCGCAAGCCCGGCACCGGCACTTGGCTCCACGGCCCCTGGGGGGGGGGAGACGACCCCTCCCTCCCTCAGGTGCGCGGGGAGCGGGGGGGCGAGGGCGCTGCCCGACGGTTACCTCGCTCGCTCCGGGCTTTGCCTGCCGCTGCTCCGCGCCGCGCTCGCCCGCCGGGGCTCCAGAAGCGCCGCCCGTCAGCAGAAGCCGCAGCCGCCCCGCCAGCCCCGCGCTCGGTCCTCCTGCGCGGCCCCGGCTCTTCGTCACGGCGCGCCGCCCCCGCCCCGCGCGCCCCCCGCCCGCCCGGAGAGTGGGGGGCAAGGAGGCCGCCCCGGCAGGCAGCGCTGCCCTCCCCGCCGCCCCTGCCAGGACGGGGGTCTCCCGAGAGGCGAGGGGGCCTTGGGGCTCCGCTGGCGGCACCGGAGGGGTGGGAAGCGGGGGCGGGGGGCGGGGAAGAGTCCAGGAAACCCTGGGAAATGAAGAGAGCCCCCCTGCGTGGAAAGGCTGCCGGGCGGGGAAGGAGGGCATGGGGGGGGCTTAGGGGAAAGTGGGGAGCCTCCAGTCTTTCAATTGTGAGTCAGTTGTCAGCATTTTAAACTGTGTATTTAGTGTATTGATGTGTTGGCTGTTCCGGAAGGCGGCCAGCAGCCCAGCATTAAAAAAGCCCCCCCCCCCAGGGCCAAAGGAAAGCACCCCTTTGCCTTGAGTGCTCCCCACATTCCCAGCCAGTCTCCCTCCTGGGCCAGATGGGAGGAGAGGCTGTGGATCATCCAGGTGGGGGGGGGGGGGCTGCAAAGGGGGGGGAGGGGCTGG